ATGTTGTGCGAGGGAGTTTCGTTGTAAAATTGAATTCTGCTTTTCTCCCAGTACTAACTAGGGAGGGGCCTAGAGAACACACCTCGCTCGCTCTCCCCTTCCTTCCTTTCTTTCTCCATCCATCCAACCAAGCTAGATAACCCCGAGAGCTAAAGGTCAACATCCTCTTCGGTTACGACAATGTGAACGTGCCGTCTCCTCCTAGGTCTCCTCCAGATCGAGACGGACTCCATGGACGGCCGAGCAATATTTCTTCATTATTATTATTATTAATTGATGCTTTTTGCACGGCTGAGCCCCCCTCCCGCCCCCCTCGCCCATTCCCTGCCCTCTCCCGCCACGCGCCCCGTCCGAGCCCTCTCTCCGCTCTTGCACAACAGGAATTTTCACAATTAAATCAGACGGCCCTATATAGTGCATCCGACGGTCCGGATTCTGCTGAACAAGCTCTTCTTGTAGCTCGATCGGTCACACCGCCATCGCCGTCGGGGAGAGGGGGGACGACACTGCTTCGGCAGCGTGCACCTCGATCCTGTACCGTGTTTGTTATGACCCCCCCCCATGAGCACACCAGTGAGGGTGGGCGAGACGATCGAGGGGTCCCGTACCATGCGGAATCGACCCTATCAAGTGCTCAAGTGCTCAAGATGGCCCTTTCTCTCTCTCCACAGGTGGAAAAACAATGATTCAATCGATGGGCCTGCCCATTCCGGAGTGGTTCGAACCCACACAGACCCGAGACGAAGGGAAACGTCGTGGGCGGTCTCAGGCCCAGTGTAGTGCGTCTGACTATCCCGGATCCTGCAGAACAAGTTCCTCTTGTAGCTCGGTCGGTCACACCGCCATCACCGCCGACGTCTCACAGTGAGATGATGGAGAGGGGGGACGACACTGCTCCAGCAGAGCGTGCACCTCGATCCTGTACCGTGTTTGTTATGACCCCCCCCCGAATGAACACACCAGCGAGGGAGGGCGAGACGATCGAGGGGTCCCGTACCATGCGGAATCGACCCTATCCAGTGCTCAAGTGCTCAAGTGTCAAGATAACCCCCTACCTACTCGAATTTGGAAACGCTGGCTCTTACGAACATACCCGGGGGTGGACTCTGACTTGGCCTGCATATACATATGTTTTCCGGCAAAAAGGAAAACAGAGGGCCCCCAGCACTTTGCGTTTCCGGAAATTTCAAGGGAAAACATAGGGTGTTTGGGATTTTGGTGCTCTCCATTCTGGAAACTCGCGTTCCGACTCGCGAGTTTCCCTGAGAGACTATGGAGAGTTCACGTCATGACGGTTAGCCGCTGTCATGACGGTTAGCCGCTGTCATGACAGCTGCCAGCTGTCATACAGCAAACGACAGCGACAGTGACACCTACCTGTCACCAGCTGTCACCAGCTGTCACCAGCTGTCACCAGCTGTCACCAGCTGTCGTTGCTGCTGTCGTTGCTGCTGTCGTTGCTGCTGTCGTAACCATCCCCGACGGTCCAACTGTCACTGCTGCTGTAATTGCGCAGCTGTCATTCCTGCTGTCATTGCTGCTGTCATCGCTGTCGTTGCTGCTGCTGTGCTGTCATTGCTGCTGTCATTGCTGCTGTCATTGCTGCTGTCATTGCTGCTGTCATTGCTGCTGTCATGAGCACCCCCGCAGGACAGTGTGTGGTGCCACTAGCGAGAGAGACAGGACACTCAAGATATAGATGCATGCGCGCGAGACCGCTCACTCGCACGCCCGACGCCACATGAGAAACCCTCTCAACAGTAGCCACGCACGCTCAGCAGCAGCGGGCGTGAGTCGGAGAATCTGCAAAACCCTTGCCCTCCTTCCTCCAGCATGTGCCGTGATGGGCTCCAGCGCTGGTTCATCTGCCGCTCAAAAATCTCACGCGAGCGAACGGTGTCAATCCTCAGCCGCGAGGATTGGGACCTTGAAATCACGATCACAAGCAAACGCGCAGAGCATTGAGCAACACACCTCGGGTTGAACCTCTCAAGGTGCATGCTGTCACCGGCAGTCTGCATGTGGATCGTAGACGATGACTATGGCTGGAATAAGCTCAAGTTCGTTCACGAGGGCTATGGCTGCCTCACGGCTGTGCCTGTGGCGCTGCCTCGCTGTCGCTGTCGCTGTCGCTGTCGCTGTCGCTGTCGCTGTCGCTGTCGCTGTCACTCGCGGGGCCCCGCGCTGACATTGTCACCGCCTGTCGTTGGCATTCACTGGCTTCACTGTCACTGTCACTATGGCTGTCACTGTTCCTGGTGCCTTTCACTCCTCCTTGGCAGCTGGCTGTCACCAGCTGTCACCAGCTGTCACCAGCTGTCACCAGCTGTCACCAGCTGTCGTTGCTGCCGTCGTTGCTGCTGTCGTTTCGCAGCCGCTGTCATGACATGTTGACCACGTCATGACGGTTAACAGCCGTTTTAACCGTCATGACGTGAACTCTCCATAGTCTCTGAGTCTGAGAGCTGGTCTGCGTCTCTGGGGCAAAATCTGAGGCAAAATCGAGGAAACCGGCAACATACCACATTACCGGGTATTTTTCAGGTATATACCCGGGAGCCGGGTTTCCAGGTATACCCGCAAAATACCCGGTATTTTGCCGTTAATTTTGGCTGATTTTGGGCCCAAACCAGCCTCAGACTCGGCTCAGAGCCCGGAAAAGTTGATGGTTTCCCCGGGAAAATAGAGAGGAAAAGAGAGGGTGCTGTTAGAGAAAAAAGGAAAGGAAAAGAGACGGGTGCGAGAGGAAAAGTATAGTCAGCCATCTCTGACAGGTTTCGCTCATGCGTTTTTGTTTGTCCAGTCTGAGAGAGATTTTTGAAAACCAACAAGAAAACACGACTCTCACAGTGATTTATTTGGGCTCGGCAGCTTGTCAGCCCTCACTCACTCAGCCGAAGCTGGGGCCGTTCTCTCCTTCTGAGCACGGGCGTCAAACAAACGACTGCAGAGGCCCCTAGAGAGGCCCGCGGCGCTTACGGGGCTAACTTTACGCTAGAGCCTACGACGCACGATCGATCGGGCTCATCAATCACGTCATACTAGCACCCTCCCCGAGCTCAAGGAGAAGGGCGAGAGGGGGGACGACACTGCTCCAGCAGCGTGCACCTCGATCCTGTACCGTGTTTGTTATGACCCCACCCAATGAACACACCAGCGAGGGAGGGCGAGACGATCGAGGGGTCCCGTACCATGCGGAATCGATCCTATCTATCCAGTGCTCAAGTGCTCAAGAAGGGCGCGAGGCGCTCCTCCGGCAGCACCGCCGGCGTCCTCGGGTCAAACAGCTTTCTGTCTGCGGTCGGCGGTGGAGGAGGGCGAGGTTGCAGCCGCTCGCAGTTATTTCCCCTAATCTCAACCGCAAGAAAAGAATTCTTTTAATACAAGCCTCTCTCACAGCACACCTCTCGACCGGTAGGTAGGTAGGTAGAAAGGTGAAGAACAGCCAGGCTCGGACTGGACACCAACGCGGTATGGGTGGACGCTAGACGGCTAGACAGATGATGACGACACGCACGAGCGACACACAGACACAAACAGGCTCACAAGACACACAGCCAGCTGGCTGCCACACACCCTGAGTTGGCGTACACATAACTCAAGGCCACATCCTCCCTGTCGCCCCCCCCCAGCACTCCAAGGTGCCAAGAGAACAAACAAGGGCACAACAAACAACAGACGACTAGAAGTAACATGTGAGACTAGAGCAGACCGCTCCGCCTCTAGCAATCTCGCCGGCCGGCGAGGCACGGACGAGACCGTGTGTGGGGTCTTGTGAGGTGTCTATGGACGCCCTCCTCAGAGGCTAGCTGCCTACTGCTAGCCCTATCTCGCACTCACGGGCAGTGACAATTCAATGGGTGAGTGTTTGCGAGCAGAGGCGCGTGGGCTAAATCTAGGCCGCACGTCGTGGCACTATGACGAAGTTAGACGTGCGGCCGCAGCGCGCCCGCCGCAGGCTCGGCGGTGCGCGCGTGTTAGCGAGAAAGTTGCGGGTGGAGCCATGCCCGACTTTTCGAAGGTGAGGCCTCTGCGACGAGTGCCAGCCGCGCTGCGGAGCCACCCCTTCGAGCCGCGTCCCGTCGGCACCGTCCCTGAGTGCACATCGACGGCTTACTTCCTCTACACAGGCACAGAAGAAAAAAACTCGGACCTGTGCGCGTGGTGTGAGGCACGCCCTAGCCGCTCCCTCCCCTACCCGGCCGCGCCCGCCCACGCATCCCAATCTGCGGCACGGTCGCCGCTCCGAGGGCATGGGAGCGGCGCCCCGCCCCCGCCCGGACGGCGCGCCGAGGGGGAGGCCTGAGCGCCGCGTAAGTCCCAGACGACTGGGCGGCACCCCTCGCCCGCCGTCCTGATCCCGCGCTGCCCCCGCACCTCCAGGGCTACCGGCAGCATGGCGAAGATCGCGAACGCCCACCTGCGCTCCTGCATCCAGCAAGTCCTGGAGGGCTCCGAGGAGAAGAAGCGCGAGTTTCTCGAGACGATCGAGCTGCAGATTGGCCTCAAGAACTACGACCCGCAAAAGGACAAGCGCTTCGCGGGCAACATCAAGCTGCCGCACATCCCGCGCCCCAAGATGCGCGTCTGCGTGCTTGGCGATGCCTTTCACTGCGAAAAGGCGTGCGCGGGATGCGCGTGCTGCACCGCCGCGCCACTTCCCCCGCGCTATTGCGCGCAACGACCCCCGCCCCAAACCACCCCACCACCGCACCGGCCCGCGCGCAGGCTGGTTCGCTCGGCCTGGATCACAAGAATGCGGACGGCCTCAAGAACTTCAACAAAAACAAGAAGCTCATCAAGAAGTTTGGTGCGCGTGGCCCCAGCCGCCTGCCCTCTTCCTCGCCCCATTCATCAACTGGGCGACCCACTGTGGAGGGCCAGTTGGCGGCCGGCGCAGAGTCGCACCCACCCACCCTCCGACGCCCCCGGCCCATCCACCCGGCCCAACGCCTCCACCCCCACAACCCACATACCCCCCTCGCCTGTGAGTCACTCGGCTGCCGCCCTCACTCAGCTTCCGCCGCCTCCCTTGCCTCCCTGCTCCGCAGCCAAAAAGTACCACGCGTTCCTCGCTTCCGAGTCGCTCATCAAGCAGATCCCGCGGCTGCTCGGCCCCGGCCTGAACAAGGCGGGCAAGTTCCCCACCCTGGTGCAGCAGCAGGAGGACCTCTCCAACAAGGTTGACGAGATCAAGGCCACCATCAAGTTCCAGCTCAAGAAGGTGCTCTGCCTCAACGTCGCCGTCGGCCACTGTGGGATGTCAGAGTCGGAGATTGTGGATAACCTGAAGCTCTCCATCAACTTCCTCGTCTCGCTGCTCAAGAAGAACTGGCAGAATATCAAGGTGCTCTACATCAAGTCGACCATGGGCAAGCCGGTCCGGTTGTACTAGTTAGAAGAGGTGGAGAGTTAGTGACCCACACGGTACGTAAATAATCGTTTGCGAAAACGGCGGGGCGGACTGGGACTCTCTCGGAGGACTCGAGCACTCTGCGGCTCTCTCGGGAGTCTCCCGCGGCCGCGCGGGGGCGGCGGGGGGCGCGCGGCCGGGGGAAGGGCAGATGCAAAAACTTCCCCCGGTGGGACTGTGCGCGCGGACTGGCGCGTCCGAGAGTCCTCGGAGATAGCCCCCCCCCCCCACCCACCCACCCACACACACAGCGGCAGCACCCAGGCGGCGCCGGGCCGGCTCGAGCGCGGGGACGGGCCCCTAACGGGCCCCGGGCCGGCACACCCAGTCACCAGATCACCACGCTTGATTCGTAGATGCGCGTCTCCCCCTCCCCCTATGTGCCGCCACCCCCCTCCAATCCGTAATTCCGTAACATCGCGTGAAAAGCGCCCTAATCGAGCTGGAGAGCGGCCCCCAGCCGCGTGGGAGCGTGCCCCAGCTAGCAGGAGGCGTTAGACGTACTTTTCGGCGTGAACTAAGGCCTTCGGCGACGTCGGTTCCCTTGGACACGTCGACACATGGCACCGACGCAGCTCAGCATTGTGCTGGAGCGCCTGCTCAACGAACTCGGGGAAGCCGACTTCAGTACGCTCGAGGCCATGCTCAAGCACGATACAGGCGCATTGCTCGACGCGATCCGAAGCACCACTGCAGCCGCAGAGGCTGGTGCGGCGGTTTATGCCAGCTCGGCCACGAGCAATGTTGTTGTGTGCCCAAGCAGCACTGCTACCGCTGGCGTAATCTCTGGTCAGCACAACGGCAGCATCTCCCGCACTCTCGTCAGCACAGACGCGCAAACCACACTAAAGGGCTCGGTCATCCATGCAGCCGCGAGTAGTGCGAGTGCTGAGGTGCTGCTCCGGCAGGAGTTGGAAGAGAAGCTGCGGTCACAGACCAAGGAGCTCGCTTCTGAGCAGCGCTCTGCGAGCGCTGTGAAGAAGGCGCTCGCGTCGGCGCGGGCTGAGCTTGCTGCGGCACAAGAGCTTAGGCGTTCCGACCGCGACAGCCTGAGGACAGCGCAGCAGGCTACTAAACGCGACATCAAAGCGGCCGAGCGGATGGCTGACGAGGCAAAAAACGCAGCTCGAGCTGAGTGTGAGTGGCGTATCGGCGAGATGCGGGCCAAGATGCAGGCCGAGCTGCGCGAGCAGCTCGACGCGCTGCAGATTTCGATGGAGGCAGAGGCGAGGCGCGCTGATGCCGCAAAGGCGGAGAGGTCAAGGCTGTACGACAAGATGGAGGGGATTATATGCGCACGCGAGAGAGGTTGATAGTCGCACTCGCAGAGGGCCCAGAGGCGCAGCGCAAGCGCGAATATAGTGTATTCCGGCACCAACTTGATTCGTAGATCGGCGTCTCACGGCCGGGCCGCGGGACGGGGAGGGAGGGGGGTCGATCCGTAAATCCGTAATTCCGTAAATTTGTAACAAAAAGCCACCAGGAGTCCCCCACCACACCCATCCACCAGGCAGATAGAGACACAGCACTCGCGACACGCTGAGAAGCCGGAGGCTGGCCTCTCCAACGCTCGCGCAACGCTGTCTGCACGTGCGCAGCTCTGGGGTCCGGGCGTTCCAGGCCACACGGTGGGAGGGTCAACGACCGTACGACTGTAACGCTACGTATATCTCTTAACAATCACTATATTCGTGCTTGCCGTGCTGCGCCTCTGCGAGTGCGACTATCAACCCCTCACGCGTGTGCATAATCCCCTCCATCTTGTTGTGCAGCGCCTTGACCTCTCCGCCTCGCTGCGGCATCAGCGCGCCTCTGGAGCAGCATCTCAGCACTCGCACTACTCACAGCTGCATGGATGTCCGAGCCCTTTAGCGTGGTTTGCGCGTCTGTGCTGACGAGAGTGCGGGAGAAGCTGCCCTTGTGCTGCGCGGAGATTACATCAGCGCTGCTTGGGGACACAACAACATTGCTCGTGGCCGAGCTGGCATAAGCCGCCGCACCAGCCTCTGCGGCTGCAGCGGTGCTTCGGATCGCGTCGAGCACCGCGCCTGTATCGTGCAAGAGCAAAGCCTCGAACGTACTGAGGTCAGCTATCCCGAGTTCGTTGAGCAGACCCTCCAGCACAATGCTGAGATCGTCCGTGCCATATGTGTCGCGTGTCCAAGCCCAACGCAACGGACGTCGCCGAAGTCCTCGTTCACGCCGTGTATCGCCTCCCGCAAGCTGGGGCACGCTCCGAACCGGCTGGAGCCGCTTCCACGCTCAATTTGGGCGCTTTTCACGCGATGTTACGGATTTACGGATTGAAGGGGGGTGGCGGCCCATAGGGGGAGGGGGAGACGCCGATCTACGAATCAAGTTTGGTGCCGGAGGTTGTTAAGAGATATACGTAGCGTTACAGTCGCACGGTCGTCGCCCTCCCACTGTGTGCGCCGCCCGCGCGGACCCCGGAGAGCTGCTGCGCGTGCACAGACACTCAGACAGCGTTGCGCGAGCATTGGAGAGGCCAGCCCCCGGCTTCTCAGCGTGTCGCGAGTGCTGTGTCTCCTCTGCCTGCCTTGTAGCTGGGTGCGGCGGGGGAGTCTTGGTTTTTTGTTACACGATTTACGGACTTACGGATTTACGGATCCACCCCCCTCCCTCCCCGTCCCGCGGGGTCCGGCCGTGAGACGCGCATCTACGAATCAAGTTGGTGCCGGGGGGGGTGCGGCTGCGGGGAGCGGCCAGCCGGGGAAATATCTCTCTGACCGGATCTCACTCTCTTGGTCGGCTGTGGGTCGGGAGAGCGGGATATGGTTGTTCTTGCCTTCTTCCTCCAGTATTAATTAAAACAGATTAACAAGCTGAGAGAGACGTACGTACAAGCTAACGATTCGATCAACTACAACATGTCGCCAGAGGCACGCTCCTTCTTGGGCGGAGCTCTTCCCCAAAAGCCAGCGGCCCTGCCCGATTCGACGGCGGGGCGGGGCGCCAATGGCTTGTGGGTACCGTAGAGCATGCTCTGCGGCGGCGGTGCGGGCGATGCTCGGCTGGCAGGCGGGGTCGCGGAGGGCTTGACCGGAGGTGGTGGGGCTGCCGCCGACAGCCTCGACACATTCGTTACGATTTCCACCTTGTCCGCCGCAGCGTTTGAGGTTGACGGTGGTCGTGCACCGAATCTCCCGCCAAGTCCAGATAGCTGTCTCATAATCGCCGCCCCTGCGCTTTGTGTGGGAGCATCGGCCTGGCGCGCCTCGTCGACGGCGGATTGCACTGCCGTCTCGTGGACGTCGACAACGGGCAACCTGTTTTGCTCATCGTCGTCGTCCTTGCTGGTGGTCAGGTCAGCTAGCGAGGCGCCGGTCTGAGTCTTGATGCTCATCACCATCTTTTCGGGCTGACGCGTGTACGGGGCGCCCCCCTTGCTCTCTTCGACGCCTCGGTCGGTGAAGCGGCTGTCAGTTGCCGCATCCTTCTCCCAGCGCTTGGCCGCGTAAGCGCGGAGCTGCATGCCCGCTGCCGCCATGCCTTCCTCCCCCTCCCGACACAGCATGTACATCTTTGGAGCGAAGATGAAGATTAGCGTCCCAATGTCTGAGATGAACACCACGAGGACCTTGACAATGAAGAGCACGTAGGGCAAGTTGTAGATGAATGAGCCAGCCAGCAGTGCAAAGAGCTTCGTCTGCAGGTGCGACGCCATAGTGAAGGCGATGTACTTCGTCTCGGCATACTCTGTCGGAATACCGCGCGCGAGGAAGCAGAGGAAGTTGCCGATGAGTAGCAGGCCCAGCTGCACGCCGATGGAGAGTGCAAGGAATATGATGCCCAAGGATGCCGTCGCCTCGCCGCTGACGTCACTCGAGATGACACATGAGCCATGCTGCTGCAAAAGCCCCACGTCGTTTTCGACGTCCGTCGTGACCACCCACCGGAGGGGCGCTAGTTGCCACCACGCAAGCACGATGCCCAGTTGCACCAGGAAGGGCGTCATCGCAATCGACCACAGCTGCCACTCGGGCATCTTCTTGAGTGTGACTGAGGTGTTGTTCACGATTCGCATGACCCGCCAAAGCTTGGTGAGGAGCGCCCCAAAGGTGATGGTGAAGCCCAGGCAGTAGATCCAGACCTGAGATAAGGCGAGTGGGCCAGAAGGTGGAGGGGGGGGGGGGGGGCTCAGCGTGCATCAGCGTGCAGGGCTCGTTGTGCAGGGTGTAGCCAGTCGGTGCGGGGGGCGGGATGACCTGAGTGTTGCAAGCCACGTCGAGCTCAGGGTAGCCCATGCGATTGCCACGGACGAAGAAGTTGTCCTCGATCCACACCTCTGTACGGCCGCGATGGTCAAACGAAGCGGGGAATATCGCCGAGATGCAGCAAATGCAGCCGATGGCGATGACGACGAGGAACGATGGCTGTGCGGCCTTCAACACCTTGGTCTTCCGGTTCACGCACGTCCAGCCGATACAAAAATAGGCGAAGGCGATTCCAGCAGCGGCGATGCCCCAGCTGCCGTACCGCGAAGGGAGCGGCAGGTAATTCTGATTTGCGACATCTTTCTCGCATCTATCGCCAAACGCGCCCTCGTCACAGTCGCAGTTGCCATCATCGTCGCAGAGGCCACGCCAATTACATGCGTCTTCGTCGTCGTCCAGAAGGGTGCTCCCAATCGTGCACGGGGCTAGATCCACGTAGCACTGATCGTACCCGAAGGACTCGCAGTACTTAGTCTGCCCCATGTCTAGCGCCTCGTCGCCGCTACAGTCCGCATGGCACTCCTGATCCGCGTCGTCCCAGCTGAACCCACATCGAATCGAGGAGTACTTCCAGTTGATCGACGGGCCCTCTTTCTCGCACCGGCGCATCTTCCACGATTTGATGGGAAACTCCAGCTGGCTGGCGGCATCGGCTATCACCACGGCGTCGCCCGTCTGCACGTCGAAGCTGCGATACTGGAGCACAAGCTGGTCGGCTTGGTTTTGGCGCGAAGTGGTGAAGTCCACCGGCGCGAAGAATTCCGTGAGCTGGAGGTTGTTCAGGGCAGCAAGAACCTTGTCATAGAAGCCAACCATCTGCATGTACCCGGCGGCCCGAGGCCAAGAGCCGTAAGGCCACGCCGCGAACGTCCCTGTCTGATCCTTGAGCTCCGTCGCCAGCTCTCCCGCGGTTTTCGAGGCGACGCCGACACAAGGCGAATTAAGCGGTGCCACGTTGCCGGCGCCGAAAAGTATTTCTTTGCAACGCGTCTCCACCTCGTCTCCCAGCAGTGCGTCTGTGTCCACCGCCGTCTCGATCGCCTTGCTGAGGCTGGCGAGTCCTGTGAATGCAGAGGCGCCAATGTACGAGACAGCTTGGTTGGTGTGCCCGAGCTCGTAGAGCGCATAAAAATCTGCCGAGGTCATGCCCGTGAATTCGCCGACCGTGCCGGACGGCTCGGTGTGGTACCAAAACGCGGGTCCGATGACGGACTCCCCTTGCCACCAGCCGCTCGCCACCCTCGCGCCGTAGGTTCCAACGCCCACGGAGCTCGACGTGACTAGGGCGAGCGGCGTCCATTCCATCTGCTCCAGCGCGGCGATCACCTTCTCCGCAGTGCTGGACACCGTGCAAGCGATGATGACGTTGACGTCTTGGTCCCGCAGACCCTGCAGAGCATCCTTCGTTTCCTTCAGGCCCGGCTCCTTCGGGATGGTCATCACCAGATCCGCCTCGGTGTTTCCGGGTTGCTTGGCGACCTGGTCCGCGCCGAGCAGCTCCTAAGGGCGAGCGAGTGGAGGAGTCAGGCGCTACGTCAGCGTCTCTAGTAACAGGCTGGGCGTGTGTCTCTGCTCATTGGGCGTCTAAGGTGAATGTCACGTGCCTCCGTCCAAAGAATGGCGCCCTCGCACACGTCTTTGTTGAAGGCTGCATCCGCCTGGATGAACCCCACTTTGAGGTGGCGGAGGCAGCTTTCTGTCCCTTTGTAGGCATCGTGGCAGGGCCCGATGTCATTGAGCCTCGGTGCAGTCTCAGCTTCGCGGCTGAACACACCGACGCCGAATTCCTGGCCGCTTCCTTCCTCGAGCTCCGCGCCACTCCCGGGATCAATGCCCCGCGCCTGACCGCTGCCGTAGTCGGCTTCAAATTCTGGCGCAACTGTCGCGCCCGCCTTCGCCACGATCGAGGCGATCGGGTTCTTCATGTAGTCTTTGCCAGGAGCGAGGATGCCGAACGTTTTGTCGTACTGCGTGATGGCGGACTCGACGGCCGCGGCCGAGGCGATCATTATCAGCCCCTCCTGGGCAGCCTGGGCGGCCGCGATCGGCGTGAGCGTGGACGAGTACGGCGCGAGAATGAATTGAGCCGCGGCCAGCTGAGTGAGCGCGCGCGAGGAGGAGGAGAGGGCGCGACCGACGTGCTTGACGCTCGAGTAGTCCTCGACCATCGAGTACCACAACCCGAACTTCTGGCCCGCCACCGTGAGGCCTCCGCGCTCCTTGTTGATCCACTCGATGAAGAGTTCCGCCGAGTTCCTGATCTCGAGCCCGTAGGGGTCGGTGAAGCCGCACCCACCCGCCACGGGACAGATCTCCACGCCGGTGATGTGCGTCTTTGGAAATATCGAAGCTGGGCCAGAGAAGCTGATGGTACCCACGGCGCTCGCAGTGGTTGGGGCGGTCCCGGTGAGCTGCCATGCCATCGTGGTACCCACGGGCGGCTGGGCCGTGGTGGGATCGTCTATGAACCTCTCTATGCAATCGTACTCTGACTGGCCTGCTGGGCACTCGACGGCCATATCCTGTTGGTCGGGAGCCAGGTCGTAGTCGTTTGACGTGTATCTTCCGTCGCCAGAGGGGCCGGCGACGACGTCCCAAAAAGAAGGACCCTCAGGCCGCGGACGAAGAGGAGAGGGCGGGGACGGCGGGGACAGCGGCGGGGGCGACTCGCTCAGCGCGGCCGCGAGGCACAGGGTGACAATAGCGGACCTCATACACACGTTCCGTGCCGCGACGGCGCACAACATGCGGTCTTTAACATAGCACTGGCTACTGATTACGGCTGCCGGGGCTGCGTTTGCTTTCTTTGTTTAACGAAAGAATTTATCAGGCCAGTTGGAGCACTTGGAGTGCCTAACTAGACCTCCATCTTTTTGTTTGCCCTAATTTATCGGCTAGACCTCCATCTTTGTTTGCCCTCGGGCGCGTCTGCCTGCCTGCCTCTCTCTCCCTCCCTCCCTACCTCTCGCTCGTCGCAGTCTCTCCTTCCTTCCTCTCTCGATCGACCCCCTCCTCCCGTACGTAGTTAGTGGCCTTCATCCAAGTGCTCCAAGTGCTCCATCATGCCAACTACCTCGCGGTCGAGAGGGTCCCCGCACTTTGCGTTTCCGGTCTGCAAAATCTGAGGCGAAACCGAGGAAACCGGCAAAATATCAATAATTCTTTTCGATCATAATTCTTTTGTCGTTTCGAACTGTGGCTGTGAATTTTGAATTGTTTTCTCGTAAAATTCTTTTTGTCGCACAAAGAATTTAAACAAAACAACTCTCTCTCACAGCAGACAGGCTGGGTGCGCTTCTCAGCTCCCCGGCCCTGGATGTGAGGCTGATAACTGCACTCCAAGTTGCTCCAAAAGTGCTCCAAGGCTCGACACAGGTGCGAACTGGCGCGTGCTAGTACTATCACAGGCACAAAGAAAGAAAGAAAGAAAACAGACAACCCAAGGGAGGGGTGGGAGGACGGCACGCCGCCACCTGAGGGAGGGTGTAGAGGATGTAGAGTGTAGAGCGCTGTAGAGCTGTAGAGATGTAGAGCGCTCTGGAGCGCTGTAGAGCTGTAGAGCTCTACATCCGCCGCGGGACGAAGCGCCTCCGTTGTAGAGCGATGTAGAGCGCGATTTTGCTGTAGAGTTTGTTGTAGAGGCTCTACAGCCAAACCGCCGGGAAGGCAGTGACTCAAAGAGGTCGAGCCGCGCTAATGGGGTGTCTCCGAGCTTAGTGGAGCTCTGATGGACAGCCCTGACTATCTCTGACACACAGAGAGTGACTCTGACGGCACACAACACCCTATAACTGCGTCATGACCAGCCTGCCATGTGTCGCCGGTGCCGCATTCGTCGCTGTGCTTCTTTAGCAGGCGGTGGACTGTCGGCTGCGAGGACGGTCGCATTTGCGCGAGCGAGGCGAGCATTCAGACGCGTTGCATGCGCCATGCCTCGCGCCAGCGCGTGCGGGAGCTCCTGGCTGAGCGTTGAGTCCAGGCGAGTTGCGCTGGCCACGATCGCTACGCCGAGCCGAGCTGACGCGCCGAGGCGCCGGCCAGTCGCAGCCGTGAGGCATGCCACAGCAGCAGAGGCACCTGCCACCCATTGGGCGGGCAGACAGAAGGCCAGGGCAGCACTGGCAAGTGCAACGCGCCTCGTTCGCCGCTTATGATGTAGAGTTTGTTGTAGAGATTTCACGTTGTAGAGCGCCTCTACATCGCTCTACAACGGAGGCGCTTCGTCCCGCGGCGGATGTAGAGCTCTACAGCTCTACAGCGCTCTACATCTCTACAGCTCTACAGCGCTCTACACTCTACATCCTCTACACCCTCCCTCAGGCCGCCACCACACAGGGATTTTAAGGAGAGGTGTGTGATGTGCTAGCCGTCGCCCACCCTAGGGAGTCTGCCTCTTCCTATCTCTCTTCGCAGTCTCTCGCCGCTTCTCGCTGCAACCTTCATGCCACCTCGCGGTCGTCCCACTCTCGTCGTTCTCTCCCTTGTCACTTCCTCCTCTGTCGCGTCGTTCTCTTCTGCCTCGTCCTGCGACGCCGCCGCCTGCCGCGGTCCCTTGTTCTCGCGGCTTCTTTGGCCTTTCGGCGCAACTCCGTCCTCCTCGCGGCGTATCCTGGCCCCTCGAGTCTATCGAGCTCCCCTCGCGCAAGGACCACATTTCTGACTCCCACTCCGATCTTGCCTCCAAGTCATGTCGTTGCTCAGGTCCACTCTCTCTTCGTACTTCGAACACTCGTGCCTCTACGCACTACGGATGATGCCGGCGCTGGGGTCCCCTTCGGGTGCATCGTGACATCTGACAACTGGATTTCCACTGGTTCGTCCTCCTCGGAGTCATCTTCCCCGGCTTCCTTCCCACTGGAGGCCCAAGGAAATCGCGCCAGTCCGCGCCCCTGTGAAAATCCTCGAGCAATTAAATGAAAAATACGTGAGGACGTGTCATGTGTGAAGCGCCAGCATTCATTTTTTGTCGAGCTTGCCGCACACGATGACGCCACGCGATCTCGTCGTGCTGCTCGCCTCCTTCTGCCTGTCGTGCGACGCGTTCCGCCTGCCCGCCGCGGGTCTGCGGCTGCCAGCTGGCGCCGCTGCGAGCAGCGCGTCGTCTAGCAGCTGCTGCCGCATGATGTTTGGGGGCGCAGGGGGCAAGCCGGACGGCGAGGGCGGGATGGGAGGTTTCATGGAGCAGGTGTGCGCCGCCGTGTGGATCCGCTCGCCGGCAAGCCCTGAGGATAGTCCAGCGACCAATCACTCACCGGCTCGCAGATGAAGGCCGCCAAGGACATGTTCAACCCTGAAAACATGAAGAAGTACGCGGCGCTTGGCCAAAAGATCCAAGCGCTTCAGGAGGAGCTGGGTCAGACCGAGGTGGAGGTTGCCACGAACGAGGGTGCGATCCTCGTCAAAATCACGGCGATGCAGGAAGCCAGGGAGGGATGGGGGGCGAGGTTGCGAGGCAGCACCGCTTAGACGCCACCATTGGGCTTGAATATCAGGTGCCCCTGGACGTCAAGGTGAGCGATGAAATGGTGGCCAAGGGCGCCGAGGCGGTTTCGGCGGAGGTGGCGGCCGCGATGAAGCAGGCGTGAGACTTGGCTGTGCCCGGCCTGGCCCCACTCGAATCTGAGACGCCCGGTTTGGACTTTTGTCCCCACAGGCGCACGCAAAGTCGGGCGCCTACATGCAACAGCGCATGGCCGAGCTCTACAAGGAGCTGGGGATCGCCGAGCCGCCCAAGCAGTAGAGAGGCGGGGGCTGCTTGAGAGCGCGTGAATCCGGTGCCGATTTGTGTCGTTCATGCCGGGGAGCGCCACACTCACCAGCCCCCCGGGCCCCCTGGGAGCCGGAGAGGGGAGAGCCACCGTGTGCTACCCTGCTCGGCTAGACCGTGTGTGTCGTCCACACACACCTCACACCGACGATCGCCTGCTTGAAAGCCTCTTTGAAACGCACATCTAGTCTACACCTACTCGCGAACGCGATTTCAGAGCGATGTCTCATAGCATGTCTGCGAGAGACTCGCTCATGGCAAGGTCTGCTGGTCGTGCTGCTGCCGCGGCCGCCGTCTCGTTTGCAAGTGTAGCGGGCCGCTTATTGCTGGTCTGGCCGGTGCAGGCGGGGCGCTTGAGGCTGCCCGCGCCGCCGCCCCGCACCCCCTCCCTTCTCGCGGCGCCGCCTCCCGACTCGTGGTCACTCTCGGAGGGACTCCCCTCGGCCTCGGAGAGCGCTCCAAATGAGTCGCCGCCGCGCTCGTATCGCTCGAGCGCGGCATCGAGCCGCGAGCAGCGCAACTTAATGCGGTTGAGTGCTTCCATCATGGCTTTTCGCGCCTGCGCGAGCGTCGAGGGACTCGGCTGCGAGGGGGCCGAGGCAACAGGCCCGTGTGTCGGCGCCGGCGTGCCTCGGGAACCGCCTCGGCTTGGGCGCACAAGACGCCGGCGCGCAGGGCGTGGACCTGTCCCGCCTCGTCCGCCAGCCGGCGCTCCGCCTCGTCGCCGTCCTCCACTTCCGCCTGCAGTTCGCTCACGTGTCGGGCCAAACGCGCCGCCATCGCCCGCGCTGTCTCGCCGGGTGACCCTTCCGCAGGCAGCCGGATCGCCTGCCACGCCACGCCGGCTCAGGTGGGCGCGGCGCGGCGCCGCGGCGCGGCCATGCAGTGAGGCCGTGCGTGCCTGGCTAAGCGCGAAGCGCAGCGGCAGCGGGCCGGTGTGCTGCACAGAGGCGCGCCAGACCAGCTTGCGCTCGCTTGGCGGCACCAACTCGAGCTCGAGGTGGTCGCCCACTGCCGATGCGCGGCCGAGCAGCCCGTCACGGAGACGCCTCGCATAGTCTGCAGCGTCCATGCGGTTTGGTGGTGTCAGTTCCGACGCGGGGAGAGTGCCACTCCAGGAGTCGGCGCCGTCGGTGAGTGCGACTTGGACGCCGCCGCCGGGCACGGCACTCGCGGCGACAAAGTACTGGCGGTGGTCGAGGGTTATCGTACGCAGCGCGGCGGAGTCCATGCTGGCATGCACGCTTTGGCTCGGAACCGGTGGAGCTGAGAGATCGAGAGAGAAGCGGGCGAAGACGAAAGGCCGAGCGCAGAAAGCCCCTTCCAAGAACGAGGGAACGGGGGGGGAGCACAAATAGGACGCCCAGCCTTGCCCTCGTGCCGCCGAGTGCATATCCTATGCGAGAGAGATCCCCTGTGCCCTGTGCCCAGCCCTCTCCGCGCGGCGATGCGCCCTCCCCCCTCGCTTTTGCAAAATCCTGCAAAGGTGGGGACGTGTCTGTCCTCGACCCAGCCCTAGCTTGGGATGTCCGTTGTATTTATTTATTTATTTACAACACCGGCCGTCGTATATGACGCTCCCTCGGCAAGCGAGCAAGAGAACGAATAGGACGGAAGGTGGAGCTCCGGGACCGAGGACTAAGCAAGTGTCTGTGTGTTTGGGCGTGGTGTACAGTGTAATGTCCACTAACTAGCTCCGAGTAGAGGGGGCGTCTTGCAGTTAAGGGGAAACCCGGTACGCGGGTCCAACCCTCGGAGACCCGTGTTTACTTTACGGCCCTTTCCCTGCGAACGCGCACCCCCGGGGCTAGGGCTCTCTAGCCCGTAACCCGATAGCGATACCGATCATCCGGCCCGCTGGGTGCGCTCCTCAGCTCCCCGGCCCTGGATGTGAGGTTGATGACTGCACTCCAAGTGCTCCAATTGCGCAGCCGAGATGCGGATTCAAAAATACTTCTTCTTGCTTTCGATGGGGGGCTTGGCCCCCTCCGTTTGGGAGGGGGGGGGGGGGGCACAGACAGGAATGGAGGGGGGAGATTATGCGTGCCCGTTTTTCTACTAAAGCAATTTTTTTTCTACTGCCAGGCAACGCTCTTCCTTCTCACCCTCGTAAACTCATACACGGAGAGGTGAAGGGGGTGAACCGCGCCATCCTCGATCGCCGTGCAAAGCTCGCTTCCGAGCTCTCACTGTACGACGAGACATCTTCGAAACTGCGCGAGTGCGTGCGCTCCAGCATGAGCAGGCTGCCCCATTATTCCCGATACTCGCAAACGGGAACCGAACAGCTAGCCAGTGATGACCCAGTACCGCAGGGTTCCGGCTCCTACCCAGATAGGGGGTCTGTTCTCCACGGTTAGACCCTATGCAATAGGTAGGTACCCAGAGGGCCCCGCAATAGATAGGTAGGTGGCGGTGGTGTGTGGGGGGGTGGGGGGGTGAAAGTAAAAAAACCGCTTCGCTTGCGCGGGAGACGGCTACCCGGGTAGCCGCGAACGGGCCATGCCAGACGAGTCGCCTGCGGCTGGGACGCCAGCCGAGACGGGAGCGGCGGCGGCGCCCGCGGTGGGAGCCTATTCACAGAGGGCTAACGGGTATTTTTCCGCTTCGCTTGCGCGGCCTGGGAATAGGTAAGTTAGGTAGGTAGGTGGGGCACGGAGCCTGGCGATTGGCGCCCGCAATAGGTAGGTAGGCTCCGCCCCGGGATGGCACGGCGCTGAGTAACAGCTATCCGCGGGCACGCGCGCAGCTGTTTCGTGCCGCCTACACGCCCGCCTCGTTTGCTAAACGGAAACGAACCCGCCGAACTTAGTTTGCAGTTGGGCGCGGCCGGCAAGGCTGCTATCTCACACCTGTAGAGATCTATCGCGTGCATTAACCCTGCGTGTCTGCCTGCGTGTCTGAACTCTCAGTGACTCACCCGAGTGGTTTTGTATCTCAATTGCATGTTTCCTACGCGCCGAGCATCTACTCAGCATTTGCAGACGTCTTGATTTGTGAAGGGGGGGCACGTCTCGGTACTCATGGAACAGAGAATTCTTACAATACAAGCCTCTCTCACAGCACACTGGCACGACAAGGGCGCGGACTGGCGCGGACTGGCACACTAAGAAAGAAAGAAAACGGAGAGAGAGAAGAAGAATCCGATAATCTCCGACAAACCCGACACGAATCGTGCAACACGTCGAACACGGGCATTTTGATCGACCGAATCTGGGCACCGGCGCGGCGGGCGCAGATCATCAATGGCTCTGCACCTCGTCCTGCCGTTGCTGCTCGGGACGCGTTCGAAGCTGCTCGGTGACCTGCGCCACCCTCACACCCACTGTTGACG